AAAAGAGAAGAAAAAAAAATGTGATAACCAAAATCACATCCCTAAAACTGAATGGCAACGATTGAGGGAAAGAAGGGTAGGTCCACAAGGAGGTCTTTCTAAGAAAAGGGAAATAGCTAGGTATTAAGAGGTCACAAGGTACGTTAAACACATTAAAAAAAAAAAAAAAAAAAACCCACACTCATTAAATTTAAAGATCTGGTCTGCAAGAGCAGTTTTTGTTACTAAAAGGCACACCATTTGTAGTTTTTTTTTTTTTTTTAATTCAAAAAGATTTACAATATCACTTTGGTTTCTGAAGCTTTTTTCCAGTTCTTTAATTTGATTCTATAATGAGGGCCACCAAACGGCATCTAAACAAATCTAAAAATTAAAATGTGTCATTTGAATGTGACCAAAAAAAGCTGAGAATTTTAGCTTTATTTAATTTCTTTGGCTTGTTTTGTAAGAAATGTTCCACTGTTTTATTTTAACCTTTAAATAAAATACATTTATCATACCTCACCTGTTTTAACTTTTAAACAAAAAGAATTATTACACTCCTCATCAGCATTATTGTTCATTACGCTGGTTCTTACTTAACCGCACTATTTACTCAAGCCCACTGAAAATCAGCAACTGCCATAGCAGCATATCTCAACCCACCTCCTTGGGGCACACCATGCTCTGTGCCCACGGACCAAAATGTCCATTGCTATGACAGTTGAGGAATTAAAATAACAAAACAAAAACTAATTCTCACTGAATTGCCTTTAGACAAACAAAACAAGAAATTAAAATGTTGAGGGCAGCCAGAATACAAGGAAAGACAGAAATGAGGTGAGAAAATATCCAGTAATGAAAAGAGACAGACAGAAAATATAGATTTATGTGGGCTCCTTCTCTTTATTAGCTGTATTGGGAAAGTCACTTAAATTCGAGGTCTCAGTTTCCTCACCTGTAAAACAAGAGTTTTGAACCTGATGATCGATCCCTAAGGTCTCTTTTAGCTATAAAATTCTATGATTCTGAGACATAGAGATGAGAAAAAAAATTTTTTCTCTGACAAGGAGAAAAAAATCCTAAAAAATAAAATAAAATGAAGAGGTGATAGAGAGTGTGTGTGTCTAAGCATCTGTTCTTTCCATTCTTTTCCCCTGTGTTCATGACTTCTACAAATCACTACCCAGTATGGGCAGATAGGGTTTCTCCTAATACGGCTCACTAACTAAAATCTTGTTTCTTCATTCAAAGAGCTTATGAAATCTCATGGAATCTATTCCTGACAAACACATGAACACAGAGCTAAACTCCCTAAACCTAATGCCTACACCTGAAACCACAAATCTTTTTTCATCTCTGTCACTAAAGTATGTGCCACAAGTACGATGTAAATTATTCAAGCCAAGATGTTTTAATTTTATTATAGAATCTATGTCGATAAATTTGTCAGAAAAACAAAGTGATGAGGAAAAAACAAATAAGGAATAGAAATTTCTGGAAGTAGCTATATTCCATTAAGGTTGTTTTTTTTTTTTTTCAACGTTTTATTTATTTTTGGGACAGAGAGAGACAGAGCATGAACGGGCGAGGGGCAGAGAGAGAGGGAGACACAGAATCGGAAACAGGCTCCAGGCTCTGAGCCATCAGCCCAGAGCCCGACGCGGGGCTCGAACTCACGGACCGTGAGATCGTGACCTGGTTGAAGTCGGACGCTTAACCGACTGCGCCACCCAGGCGCCCCTCCATTAAAGTTGTTTTAAAATTATTAAGTAATTCAATGAAAAAGCAGTATGAGTTAGATGTATTTCAGACTTCAGTATTAATGATTTTGATGCATTATCACAGGCCAGCCAAGGGATTAGCCTCAGTTTCCAAATTTGAATCAAAATACAGAAAAAAGACAGTTGTACACAATTTGGTTAAGTACTGAACTATAAAACCAGACGTTTCAGTAATTTCAATGCACTGTGATCAAAGATAATCTCTTGGTGACTCAATGGTTTTATTTTACACTGTGAAGTAAGGAAAATGACTATCTTTTAACCTATACAAAAGCACAGTAAACACATAAAAAAATCCCTATTAAATTGATCACATACAAGAAATTATAATGCCTGTTTCAGCTTATTTAGCAGTTATTACTATAGGGTATTTTGTGGGTGGAAGTGTTTCAACTGTATTATTTTCTCAAGCGTCTGTTTAAAATTTTGCATATATCTAAGGGCCCAAAATCACATTAGTTAACTGGCTGTGACCTACTACAAATGAAATACTAGCCTGACAGAGAATCCCAATTTAAAAGCCAAACTTGTGGGGCGCCTGGGTGGCGCAGTCGGTTAAGCGTCCGACTTCATCCAGGTCACGATCTCGCGGTCCGTGGGTTTGAGCCCTGCGTTGGGCTCTGGGCTGATGGCTCAGAGCCTGGAGCCTGTTTCCGATTCTGTGTCTCCCTCTCTCTCTGCCCCTCCCCCGTTCATGCTCTGTCTCTCTGTCCCAAAAATAAATAAAAACGTTGAAAAAAAAAATTTTAAAAGCCAAACTTGTAATTTGAGAATTGACACATTTAGGCTACTGTGAAACACTTAAGGTATAGAAGATAAACCTGAATTACACTTTACCAGCGGGTAAGGATTTACAACATCTTTCAAACCTGGAAGGAGCACAGGCACTTTTACAGCAGATCACAGCCGACAGAGTGTCACCACAAACCCTGAAAGCCTGCACCTTTAATTCCTAATAAGCTTATGCGATTCATTGATAAAATCTGTGCTGGTGGTGCACAGCCAGGAAATGCTGATAGGAAGAACCTGCCACCTAATAATGCTGAAAAACAGACCTGCAAAGTACACTTCTATCCTCAGATTCACCTCTCCCATCCTTACTTGATCTTCCACCATCATAAAGAGGGCCACTGACTTGCGTTCTTTCTATACTAGAAAAGCACACCTCTAGCTTTTCCTAACTTCTTTCCAAATCCTTGAGAGCTATCTTTGCTCACATGTATTTTGATATGGTTTCAACTATATAAGATGGTAATTGGGTAAAGATTACACAATCTCCAGTTGTGATATGCTCTGCTCATGTAGACCCTAAAAGTACAAACATTCCTCTCACACACATTGTTCCTCAGGCAGAATTTCCCAAGAAAAATAGTAGGCCCCTCTTCAGATAATTAGAAGGACAAAAAGACAAAAAACAAACAAAAGCCCAACTTTTTTCAGAGAGGTAATGCTTGCCCAAATTTATTGCTTTACAAGTTGACATCTCTCCTTCTCTGACTGCATTTCACTTGGATGCATTTTTGCTCAGTTATTTCCATCTATTAACGCTTACATTTTTAATGTTTATTTACTTTTGAGAGAGAGACAGACAGACAGAACACAAGCAGGAGAGGGGCAGAGAGGGTGAGAGACAGAATCTGAAGTAGGCTCCAGGCTCTGAGCCAGCCCGGAGCCTAACCTGGGGCTCCAACTCACAAACCTCGAGATCAGGACCTGAGCCAAAGTCAGAAGAAGCTTAACCGACTGACCCACCCAGGCACCCCACTCCCCGCCCATCCATTAACTCTTAAAAGTTATCAGCCAGGCGTCTGTGTTAGGCAGTCTTGAGGATAGCCCCCAAAGACCCTTGCATCCTGGAACTGGTGCCCTTATATATTCCTCTCTACATTGACTTTTGGTTGGATTTACTGAGTCACTTCTATTACAATGTGGCAACGGTGATGAAATACCACTTCAGAGATCAGGTTATAAAAGACTACTGACAGTCTTGGGTACTCTCTATTGTACTCTCTATGTGGTGGAGAACCTAGGTCTGTAAACAACCATGTGAGTGCAGGTGGAAGCGTGGAAGCGGATCCTTCTACCCCTGAGAGAAGCTTTCAGGTAAGACCAGTCCCCACCTATAGCCTGACTACAAACTCATGAAAGACCTTGAGTCAGAGGCTCTCCACCAAGCTGTAACCAAGTTTCTGACCCACAAAAACTGTGAGATAATCAATGTTTGTGGTTTTAAGCTGCTGAATTTGAGTAATTTGTCACTCAGCAATGGATAACTAATACAGTATCTCATCAGACAAAATATCAAGTTAAAGTGAATAAAAATGGCAAGTTTCTTACTCAACTTGAAAAACAGAATAAATTTTTTTCTTCATTCTCAGATCTGCTCACTTTTGTAAACCATTTTCTTGGGGGGTTTAAAAACCTCCTATCTCATAAATACGGTTGCCAAACTCCAAATATTGAAAGGAAAGCTCAAATGAAAAACACAAATTAGCTTCACTTTGCAGTAATAAAGATCATGATATATTGTATTGGAGAGAAACATCTAGGATCCAAGAAAATAAAAATTCAATTTTTAAAAAATAAGTAGACTCAGTTATTAAATTACTAATACATACAGATCCTAAAAATAAAAACAAAAAACTTCATTGAGGATTGGAATTAATTTATGTATTTTCACCTAATAATATTTCATTGGAACGCTCACCGTAAGTGAGTAGACCCCAGTCACAAACAAGAGATAGATTAAAAATATGCCAGATTTATAATACAAGTTTGACTGCTGAAGCAACTGGCAAATCCATCATAACCTTAACTAAAAAGTGTTTGCATTCTTATTACTGAAAAGTAAGTAAAGAACCGAAAATGGTACCTATGCATCAAGAAACCACTGTTTGAAAAGCAACACTTGGGCTAGAAAAAGGATTCCTTGCCATTTCTTGCCTTTATTTCATAATGAGGCCGGTCATCACCTGGGGTCCCAAGTTCACCTACACTCCAGTGGCCTAGAAACACAAGGAACACACCTACTCCCGCCTCCTGATACAGATTCCACATTTTAATAAGCCATCACAGCTGTCACTCTAAATGCTCTGCACAGCTATTGGTCCCAAAGTCTCGCTGGTTGGCAAGTTTCTGCCAACTGGCAAGCACCCGTTGTCTATTTCCGAGAAGAAAAGTAAGGGTATGCAAAGAAGAGAGGCAAGAGCTCTGACATATCTAGGCTGATGCTTGTACCTGAACGACCTGCGATCCCCACCGCCGCCGCGACGAATCGGTCTCTGGGCGGGGGCTTTTTTTAGTCACAAAGAAAATGGCTCAGCCGGGAACCTGTGCCCGGGCCATGGAGAAGCCGGTTCAAACTTCACTTGTTCACGCCGATAGTGGTGACAGCAGTGAGGATATCGGAAGCAGCACAGGATTCCTCTGGACTCAGCTCGCCTCAAGCTGTAGCAGCCAGAGCTGCGGACTGCCCGACTTTTGACGTTTCCTATTGTTGCCGGAAGTGACGTTCGGGTTCTGAGACTTAAAGAAGAAGCATTTTTATCCCCGATGTTTATGATTCGCTATAGATTCCCTGTTTCTCGCTTAGCAGCCCGAGCCCCTCTGAGCTTGAACACTAGACAAACTTTTAATCCGTAACTTGGGATCGGACTGGTCGTTGAAAAGCCCCTCTGCAGAGTCAGTCACCTCAGGGGTCTGGACAAAAGTAGTGTGGAATCTGCAGCGAGGAATCGTGAAGCACTTAGGAGCCTGCCGCTTTGAAGGGCTGGCCGGGCGCGTGGCGCGCCGCGACCCACTGTTTAAATACAAACGGTCGTCGCGAGGGGTGCGCCTCGGTGCCGGCGTCGGGACACAGCGACGCGTTGCTGGAGTCTGGGCTCCACTGACTACCACTGGTCGCATATGCTACCTCCCTCTGTCCTTGCTGTGCGGGGCCAGAGGCCTTCGGGGCCCACTTGTTTGCTTGGTGGCTGCTGGCGAGGCTGCGCCCCAGGTTAAGCAGGGGAAGCCCCTCTCCTGCTGCCTTGACCGAAACCACGGGCGGGAGCGAATGACCAGGTCTGCGTTTTCATCCTTTTAAATCAAATGGAGGGAGGAGACCCCTTGCTTATATACTCAACTGGCACACCCTTCTGATAAACCGCGAAGTTGGAAGAATCGCGGAAGCTAATTCTCTCAGGTTAGGTTACAGTTTAGGGTCTGGGCTGGGAAGTTACAGACTGATTCGTTCTTTCGGAACCACTGAACTCTGATCCGACTCCTCCGAAGGGCTGGCTAGAAGAAAGAGGTGAAGGTAGTTGAGTTTTCTTTGCTCGCATTTCCCTGGGTTTCCGTATCTTTCTAGGCAACTTCCGATTTTTTTCCCCTCAGGGAAAATATCAGTCTTGGCATTTGATTCCGAAATTATGGGTACGCTATTTTGCTAAAATAACCCACAAACGTTCTGACAGTTTTAGCTGTGAACACAGCAGTCCTACAGAGCTCTATTCTTGTTCCGTACTGCCTGTTTTTCTGTTTTCTTAGTGTTTTCCCTTTTCCAGATCTTTCTCCCTGTTGCAGAGCAGCGTTGCCCTTACTATCTTTTGCTAAAATTTCATAAACCTAGCTTTTCCTCACATATACTCCTCCTCTTATTTTTGATTCACGGTTTTAGATACTATTTAGTGTTGTAAGCTATGTCACAAACTCTTAGCCATGAACCATGATCGTTAAAGTCAGTGTACTTGTTCATTCTGAACAAAAATCACTGAGTTCAATGGCATTCCATTGGGAGGCATCACTTAACACCTGTGAGAGCAATGCGAGTAAACTAGATTAAAAATCATAAACTGCCATCGATTTCGTTTTCATCACCTTCCCCCCAATAAATTTAGTTGTTGGGCAGATATGACTTGTAGAGAAACTCTCTAGAGGAAGCAACATTGATTCCATCTTAATGATTGAATTTATACTACAATAGCAGAGTAATAGATCCTTTCTGTTAATTTCTTTTGTTAAGGGTTATAAATTTAAAATGTTAATCAGTTTTTTAAAAAGTAAGTTATTTTCCATTTCTGAAAGTACTATGCTAAACTGTGATTAAGTTGTAGATTGGCTTCTTTTAATACCCTAATTTTAGTGTTTTTCATTTTTATAATAGATTTAGCAGTCTTTCATGACAATGTATAGCAGTAGCTGTGATTTTTGTGTGTGTGTAATACTCACAATTTTTTATCCCTGTATTTTTTCTATCCCGTTTTATTACTTACCTCCTTCACCTACAGATTCAACCTGTACTTGTATCTTACTCTTCTTCAAAATATTTATTCTGCTGGTACTGAAGAGGATGTGCTCCAAGGACATACTTTGTTGTCAGAAATTCCATTATCGGAGGTAGAAATAATATGAGACATTGATATGTTCCAGGACTTCAGAGAAAGGAAAGATACCACAAAGTGTTAAATAAAGCAAAGTTGCATGCAGTAGAAAGATGGAATATACATCTAGAAGAATTAAAGGAAGTTTTTGAAAACAGATACATTTATATTAAAGTTATAGAATGTCTTAGAGGAAAAGTTACCAGGAGAAGAATCATATTAAAATAGGTGGGTCTGGAACTTAATGCAATAATATTCTGGCCTATACAGTACCTAAGAATGTGGTTTTTTTGTTTGTTTGTTTGTTTTTTTTGCAGTTACAAGCAGAATAGTTACCACTTCCTCTTTCCCAGGAAAGTAAAGGCTGGACTTTGGAAGTCATCTCTCTTACTGCTTCCCTATATCGATTTATCCCCAGGTCATCCTAAAAGATGTTAAATAAGGTGTATTTTCTTGGCCAGTATTTTGTATAATGTGATTTCAGGATCACTTCCTCTTTTTCTAGTTATCTCTCATTTGATGGTACCTGAAATTCCCTCTGCCTAAAAATTGAAATATTTAGAAGTAATTGATTGGCTGGAAAACACAAACTGAAATCCAAGTATAAGTGTATAAAATTGTATTCAAAAACATCTTATTTACCATGTTGCTAAAGGAGAGGAGTCTTGCAACAGGAAGTTACTGTGTTCCTAAAGAGGGGAGAAAAGGGGACAGAGTTGTGTGGCTAGGGGCTTAAAATAGAAAACCTACTAAATTTAGGAGTTTGCAAATCTAGATATGCATAGATAACAGAGAAAGTGTGTAAGGAGATGATTTGTATCCTGGGCAACTGCTGGACTGTTGACTGGGGGAGAGGGGGAAGATTATACTATCTCTGCCTGATTTATAAATTGTTCTGTTTTGTTTTTAATGTAATGACTTCATTTTAAAGGAGCTTCATTTCCAGAGGATTCATTTTTCAAGGTATTGTTATATATTTTCCTTCTATGAAATGACCACGGTCAGTTACAAATAGATATTTTTAAGTGCCTTATTGACCTTTGCCTTACTGATTGACTACTTACAGTTTAGAAGCCTTTTAGCGCTTTCTAGCAAACGTTCATAAACATTTATTTACCTACCAATACATTTATTTATTTTATGAGTCTCTTTTGGGAATAATGTTTTTTGAGAATCTAATGAAAGCCCTACAAGTATGCAGTGAGTCATTTAAAAATATAATTACATGATGTTTTCTTTGAGATTTACAAAAATGACCTATTTTATTTAAAATCACAAATATTGTTTTAGTCTGTTGGTGTATACATATATATATATATATGTGTATATATATATATATATATATATATATATATATATATATATATATATATATATATATATATATATATACACACACACACACACACACATACTGTTTGTAACATATATTTTCTGGAGTTTTATTCCTATTTCATAGTCCCAGTATATGTCAACTTTAGTAGATATCACCATTAAGTTTTCTTAGGTAGTGGTACCAATTTACCCTTTCCCAGCACTGTGTTTCAAATGTTCTAGAGCTCCACATTTTGGGCTTCCTTTGGTTATTTCCTAATGATAAATGTGACTGATTGTTTTTTTCACATTTACTCTTTTGTAAAGTTCCTGTTCAGGTCTCCTTCCTTTTTTACTATTGAGTTGTCTTTCTTTTTCTTATTGCTCTGAAGGGAATTCTTTACATATTTTAGATACACATCTTTTTGTTGGTTTTACATTATCGACAACATCACTTTCTCTCAATAGTTTGTCTTTCCACGCTCAAGGATGTCTTTTGATGAACAGAGTTGCTAATTTTAATGGGGTTCATTTTAATAGTCATTAAGATAAGAAATCTTTCTCTATCTGAAGATCAAAGATATTCTCCTCTGTGATCTCCAGCAAGCCTAGGTGTCTTACATTTTATGTTTAGATCTTCAACAAACCTGGAATTAATTTGTAAAAGATGTGAAGTACCATTTACATTAAGAGGTCAAGATTTATTTACTCTATCAGGATATTAAGTTGACAGAGAACCATTTATGGAAAAGGACCATCCTTTCTTCATAGCTTCTTAAGAATCAACTTTGTCATAATTCTAGTGTCAATATATGCATGGTCATTTTTCTGGAGTCTTCCATTCCATTGTTCTATTTGTACGTATTTTCACGAATTCAAATTTAAGTTATACAATGAGTCTTGCTATCCAGTGGTTAGTCCTCCAATTTTGATTTTTTTTCAAGATTGTGTTAGTTATCCTTTACCTTATGCACTTCTATATACATTTTCAAATCAGTGTCTACCAAAAAATCCTTTAGATATTTTTTTTTCAGTGGGGGTGGGGGTGGTAGAATGCATTGAACCTATGGATCAATTTATTGAGTCTTCCAATCCTTAAACAAGTATATAGTTTTCTATTTAGGGCCTCTTTAATATATCTGAATAAAGTTTTATGTTTTTTTGTTTTGAGGTCTTACATATCTATTCTAGACTTAGTCACATGCTTGTGATGTTTGTGGCTACTTGATTTCTACACATATAACTTTTAAAATAAATTTTTTAACTGAGGAATATAGAGACATACAACTGGTTTTTATATATTGGCCTTGTACCCAGCAATCATCCTAAATTCACTTATTTTTTGTATTTTTTTATACACAATTATGTCATCTGTGAATAGTGATCTTTTTATTTCTTCCTTTTGAGTCTTTATTCCTTTTATTTCTTCTTGTATTTTTTTTTTTTTTGTAGATACCCTTTATCAAATGCAGGCAGTTCTCTTCTATTCTTAACGTCCTAAGTATTATATCATTAGTGAATGTTGAATTTTATGAAATGCCTATTCCACATGTATTTAAATAATAACACTTTTCTCCTTTATTTGTTGATGCATTGAAGTATAGTAATTCAATTTTTGTGTTGCTCATACTTTGCATTTAATCCAGTATTATTAAATTACTTTTGTCTTTCAAAGAGTTTCACCTTTGACCACTGGGAACTGTTTCATTTGTCTCCTGTGTCCCTTTGACATACCCCACCAATTTGGGATTGATTCGTTTTGTGTATACTTTCTTACTTTCTGGAACTACATAAAGTTTCAGGCTCATCTTACAAATTTTCTGTCCCAGTCTTAGAATTGACCATTTCTCCAGGGAGTCCTGGTTCCTTTTACTGGAGAACAATGTTACACACCAACACCTGAATGCTGGGTGTGCTCTTTACTGCTGGAGAGTTGTTGCTTTCAATCACTTCCCGCTGGCAGAGAAACGAAATGTGTATGCTAAGCTGTCTTGAAATACTTCGATATATAACTATCTATATCTATGTGAAGCTAAACATGAGTTCATCGTACGGATATTTCAAACATGAGTTCATCATACTGATGTTTCTAACTAATCCATTAGGTAAGCATGGCTCATTCTAGTCTCCTCTCCTTGCTAATCTGTAAATTCCCACTCCAGCAGTGAGAAACCAGACTCCTATTCTACCATCTATTTACTTAATTTTTCAATTCCAGGGTATATGCATAGAAGTATCAGAATTACCTCATAAGTCCTTGGGAAACATCTTATAAACTAGAGTAGAGTGTTTACATGCAGTTGATTTTGTCTTTAGTCTCTCAAGCTCCACTCATTTCCAAAGTTAGCACCTTTTCCATCCAACGCCTTCTATGAGGTTGTTTCACACATTGGTAATATGGTTTGATTTTCTTGTCACAGTCTGCATTCTTTCCTGGAGTTTCCTAGCTTTTACATGGTTTTTTAAGGTCATACACATTAGGGTTCTCTTTGTGCTATAAAGTTTTATAGGTTTTGACAAATGCATAATGTCATGTATCTACCATTACAGTATAATACAGAATAGCTTCACTATCCTAAAAAATTCCCCTATATTTACTTATTCAAACTTGTGTTCTTCCTTCTGAATCCTTGGAAACCACTGATCTCTATAGTCTTTATTTTCACTATAGTTTTGTCTTTTCCAGAATGTCATATAATTAAACTCATACAGTGTGTAGCTTTTTCAGATGGTTTCTTTCACTTAGAAAGATGCATTAAGGTCCATCCATATCTTTTTGTGGTTTTATGGCTCATTTATTTTTATTGCTGAATAAATATCCCATTGTATCGATGTACCACATTTTTCATCCATTCACTTATTGGTGGACATCTTGGCTGCTTTCATTTTTTGGTGATTATGAATAGAGCTGCCATAAACATTCAGGTGCAGGATGTTATATGTACCTGTGTTTTCAATTCTATTTAGTGAAAACTTTGTTAACATGATTGCTGATTGTATGGTAAGACTACATTTAGTTTTGTATCTGCTGAACTGTCTTCCAAAATGACTAAATGATAGCAATAAGTGAGTCTCTTTTGTTTCTTCATAAGCATTTGGTATCACCAGTTTTTTGGATTCTAGCCATTATAATAGGTGTGTATTGGTATCTTTTTTTTTTTTTTTAATGTGCAGTCACCTAGTGATATGTAATACTGAGTGTGTTTTCTTATATGCTTATTGTCATCTGTATATAATTTTTGGTGATATGTATGTTCAGCTATTTGGCCTATTTTTTAACTGGGTGTTTTCTTACTCTTATAAGAGTTCTTTGTATATTTGGGAAACACTTCTTTTATTCAGTATTTGTTTTGTAAATACTCTCTGCCAGTCTGTGGACTATCTTTTCATTTGCTAATAATGTCTTTTATAGAAAAGAAGTTTTAAATTTTAATGAAGTACAACTTACCATTTTTTAAAAACTTTATTGATTGTGCTCTGATACTATCTAAGTCATTGCTAAACCCAGGGAAACAGGTAGTTGCTCACCTGAACACATTATGGGAGGGCAGGGGGAGTAAAATTCTAGCTTTAGCAGCTCCTTACATGGACTTTCAAATCATCATCCATATTTCAACCCCCTTGGCCTTATCCCTTAGCCTTTCTTAAGCATTTAAGGGCCCCTTATTTCTAAAACTATCTTGCTGCTGTTGGTTTCCTTGTAAATAGATAGGATTAGCCTGTTTCTGCTCTGCTAGGTTGGTTATCACTCCTTCATCTGCTTTCAGTCTTTCAAAATTTTGTTAGTACTTCTGTCATGTGGAATCCCTCTAGTTCATTTTGCCCTGGTGCGTATACATGGCTTTTAATCATCTACTTTCATTTTAGCAGTGTTGAAAGAAAAGAAATGAAGATAACATGCACTTAATCTGCCATATTTTACCAGCCGAATCCTGAATCTTTTTTAACTTGTCATTTTATTTTTTAAACAAAGCATCCTATTGGCGACTATGTGAGGTCAAAGCCCTGGGAATAATGACTAAATCTGTGATAAATTCCCTTGTCTCCATTTTTTATGGGTTTTTTTAAATGTAACCTTTATAAGCATCTAAAATAGTCATTGCTGGAGATTATCTCAAGTTCATGTTTCCTCCCAAATGGCACTTTGTTCAAAATACAGTATTTGGTAGAGTACCATGGGACATATTTTATTTTATTTTTTTAATGTTTTTACTTATTTTTGAGACAGAGAGAGACAGAGCATGAGCAGGGGAGGGGCAGAGACAGAGGGAGACACAGCATCTGAAGCAGGCTCCAGGCTCTGAGCTATCAGCACAGAGCCCGACATGGGGCTCGAACTCACGGACTGTGAGATCATGACCTGAGCCGAAGTCGGACGCTTAACCAACTGAGCCCCCCAGGTGTCCCTCATGGGACATATTTTAAAAACATGAACATAAGGCAAACATTTTTTTGTAAGGAAAAAATATTTAGGGTAAAAGCATATCTTAGATTCAGGAATACTATACTGTCAATAGAAGACAGTACTAGCCCAGTAGGGAAGTCAAGTTAGTAGAGAAATAGCTAAGATAAATATGGTTAGTTCCTATAAGGGATGCAAATAAAATAGAAGATTCAGAAATAGACAGACCTAACCAGTGTTTTATGGATTTTTAATTTTAGGTGAAAAATCAGATCATTTCAAAAGCTGGAGCTGAATGTGATGTTAAATAATGGCAACTGGTGACTTAAAAAGAAGCTTAAGGAACTTAGAACAAGTGCTTCGCTCGCTAAATTATCCTAAAGAAGTGGATTGTGTAGGGTAAGCTATGTATCAAAGTTATTTGTGTTCTTTTTGGCAATGACTTGAGGTAAGATTTGACATTGGGGGGGTATTTATTTTATTTTTTTTTATTTTATTTTTTTTTTATTTTTTAATTTTTTTTTAATGTTTGTTTATTTTTGAGACAGAGAGAGACAGAGCATGAATGGGGGAGGGGCAGAGAGAGAGGGAGACACAGAATCGGAAGCAGGCTCCAGGCTCTGAGCCATCAGCCCAGAGCCCGACGCGGGGCTTGAACCCACAAACCGTGAGATCGTGACCCGAGCCGAAGTCGGACGCTCAACTGACTGAGCCACCCAGGCGTCCCAAGGGGGGGTATTTAAATAGACAGGTTTTATCTGGGTCAGTTGAAAATTTTCCCTGTAATGTTTAAAATATTTTAGACAGCAAGTAACTACAGGAGGTTTTTTATTACTAAGTATGAATTAATGAAAAATTGTATCTAACTCAAGAGATTTAAAATATGTTCTTAGAAGTAGAACCACAATATATACCCCAGTGTAAGGCATAGTTTCTGTAGAACTTTTAAATTCATAAAAAATAATATAATGGATTTCATTAATTATACAGTATTCTATCCTCTCATATTTTGGGTTGGATGATATTTCTTTTTGATTTGGAAGATTCTAGTTAATAGATTGCTTATGAGAACGTACACCATGCTCAAATATTGTTACCAAACTAACTCATTTAATAGACCCCACTTTGAAACTTTTGCTTTAGTTTCTGCTTTTCCAATATGACTGCTTTCCTTTGTAAATGTAGCAACATGCATTCCTTCTATATTCATGCTAACCTAATGGTACTCTTGTCATCTTCTGTCCTATATTTCCTTTTTCTTCTTATCTGGGATTATTGATTAAAAATATTCCCCACTGGGAGTGCCTGGGTGGCTCAGTCATTTAAGTGTCCTACCTCTGCTCTGGTCATGATCTCATGATTCATGAGTTAGAGCCCCATGTCCGGCTCTGTGCTGACAGCTCAGAGCCTGGAGCCTGCCTCGGTTTCTGTGACTCCCTCTCTGTCTTTACCCCCCACCCCCCATGCTCTCTCTCTTTCTCAAAAATAAATAAACATTAAAAAAAATTTTTAAAAAATATTCCCCACTAGGATACAACTGAAGTCTGGTACTTTGTTTTGTTTGCTGCAGTATCCCCATATCTAGAATTATGCCTGGTACATATTAGCAGGTAATTAGACATTTATTCAATGACTTAGTATCAGTGGACAAGTCCAGATTAGGTATATGTTCAAGGAGTGGAGTGAAACTTGGTTAAAACAATAAAAAAGAGAATCCTGGAGTAATGTGCTTTACATACAAGAATGAATGTTCTGTTGGACACTGGGGAGAGTTAACTCCAAGAGATGGCTACAAATGAAAGGATAGTGAGGAGAGTGGGGAGAAAGTTGAGTTCTGATGACCTGTTATAGCCCTTCTGTGTGAGAAACAGAAGGTGTTCCATAGTATGTACTAATCCTGTCTTGGTTCCTTAAACAGGGAAATCTAGTCTTTCTAGTCTTTGGGATTTAACCAGTTTGAGTAGCCAAGTTTTCTTCCTACTACTTTTAAGCATCATTTTAAGACACATTTTGGATAGGAATACTTCTAAAATATACTGATAATTCTTCTGTCTTTTGAGTATAGCATTTAAACATTTGATTTTCTGTCTCAGGAGTATCATTAAGAACAATTGCTTTTAGACTATTTCACAACATAGTAACTCTGCAGAGACTATTGAGATTGATAACACTGCTTGCTGCTGCTTTTTCAGATTGCCCCCCTCACACTCATACATACTCCCCCCACACATATTTTGATTCTTTCTATTTCTTACCCATTTTTTGAAAATGTTTTCTTTCAGCATCTGATTTTTTGGGAGGCCAGTATGCCAACTTGTAATATGTTTTCTTACAATGTCTAATCAAAGTTCTCAGAAACTAGATAACAAAGATTTTTGAGTTAAAACAAGAGGTATTAGGGGCACCTGGGTGGCTCAATCAGGTAAGTGTCTGACGCTTAGTCTTAGCTCGGGTCATTATCTCACGGTTTGTGAGATCGAGGACTATGTTAGGCTCTGTGCTAACAGCGTGGAGCCTGCTTGGGATTCTCTCTCTCTCTCTCTCTCTCTCTCTCTTTCTCTCTTTCTCTCTCTCTCTCTCTCTCTGCCCCACCCTTGCTCTCTCTTTCAAAGTAAAATTAACTTTCAAAAACAACCAAAAAACAAGAGGTATTAAATGTATACCTGGCTATCTTCTAGTCATAACGCGCATAAAATGGACAGATTTTGCTGTTCAAAAGTATTGTTCTCATTTCCTGTTTTGAACTAACAGACAATATTGCCAGCAGTTTTATCATTGGGTAAAATATTATTATACCTGTAAATATAAAAGAGGATTTATATTTGTACTGAAAAATAAAATGTAATTTTAATATGTACTTGTTCTCTGCCTTTTTTAAAAAAATTGGGTGACGATGGGGAATTTTGTGGAAAATTTTGTCTTGAATTTTGTGGAAAAACAAGTTTGTGTAAGCACATTTTTACTTCAGTTGAACAGATGTAACTGGATAATTGAACAAATACCTCCTTGCTTTGTTGTGGCAGAATCAGTGAAGGTATTTCACATTGAGAAAATAATGCCCATATGTGTAGACAATTAGAAAACAGTACAAGACAAAACCTGAGGCATCAAACACTGAATACCCTGGGGCTCATTCTGGAAGAGATCAGTCTGGATCAGAAAGTTGAGGATGGCTTTATGGATGGCTTGAAACTTGACAAATAGTTCATAGTGAATAACAGACAAGTAGGAAAGAATGGGATACCTTTCTAGACTGGAAGAATTAACGTAATCTAAGGCACAGATTTCTAATGAGCTTGATATAAATGGAAGATGCAAACTGATTAGCCCAGTTACAGTTTCTAGCCCTATTTTCCTCTCTGTAATTTAAAATTCATAATATTTTACCTTTGCAGGTTTATTGTAAAGAGCAAGTGAGGTAATGTAACAAGTGTTTGCCAAACTGTAAAGTGTACTGGAGCACTATAAGGTGGTACATTTGTTTAATCAGAGAAAATGGACTGATCAAATAAGGCTAAGCTTTGGAACATCAAATACTGTGGTGAATAGACCATACTATTACTGAAATGCCAACTAATAAGTAAATAAGCTATTATTTCATAGCAATCTGGCTATACGGATTTAGAGTAGGAGATGGAATCAAAAGAGTTTTGTGTATCTCCTAATTGTTTGGCTATAACGTTAACTTACAAATTATCGGCATCTCATTTCCCTTTCTATCTAACTTTGTGGAATTATGCTCCTTAAAACTTTTTCTTTTTCTTCCTAATAGCTTGGTAAAGGGAGATACAACTGCATCTTTGCCCATCATCAGCTATTCACTTACCTCATACTCACCTTATGTAGCAGAACTTCTGATGGAATCCAATATAGAGCTCATAGCGAAGAATGACTTACGCTTTATAGATACTGTCTACAAGGTACTTGATTGTATGAAACATTATTTCAGAAGTCATAATGATTTTTTTAAGATTAATGTTTTATAATAACTCCTTAAATACGTGTACAGCACATATAGTTGACAGTATTTTCATATGCATTTCTCATTTAGACAGTTCCTATTATAATCAAAATATAATTTAAGTCCCCTTTATGTTTTATAATCTAATAAATTGCAGTTGGTAAACATTTGCCTGTGGTTACCGTTTACTCTTTTTATATCAAATTTTAGTAAAATTTGGCATGTTAGCATAAGTTAGAAATGTGACTGTTGAGTAAATTTTGTGGTTTGTAGAATTATGAGTAACTTAGTTGTTAGTAAGAAAGAACTATAGCTTTGAGATTTCATGTTCCTTGACGTCTGGGACCATATTTTCTATCTATTCTAGTATCTATACTTGTACTATATTGGGACTGAACTTAATCTCATGATTAAAAAATTCCTTCTGATCATTATTAATTTTTACTCAAGCAGTGGTTATCTCAAACTGTTGTTAAAATAATAAAACCCATTTATCAGATCAAATTGTTTTTGGTTTTTTTTTTTGCGAGTTTACATTTAATGACATGGGATCTTTTCTATGTGTAGAGTCTCTGTTTAATCTTCCCTGTCTTTGCCTCTAACACCAGCAGCTTCCTTGAAAGACTAAGAGGCACTTCTAAGAAATCCTAGGGTTCTAGAGCATAGGCTTTGAAAATTGGTGGTCTAGTTAGTCTGTTTCTCTCATTTTACAAATGAAACATTGGAACGCAGAGGCCTACTGACCTAAGAAATCACATAGTGGAAGAACTAAACAAATAACAACTAAACAACTGTTGTTTTCTAACCTCTGGTATGGCATTCTTTATTTTCTACTAAGTTAAGGAGTTTTTCTAGTACCTATGAGGATATTTGAACCTTTTGATCATTAAGTGTATTTTGTTGTCTCCCTGGACATGCATCTATTCTCTGCTACTTCCTGGCTGCCCATTTTCTACCTGGATACCTCCTAACTGGTCCTGACTACCACCATGCCTACAAATCTCTTTAGTACCTCCATCTAATGCCTTGATCCTCCTTCTTGAAGATGGTATTACATTCCTGACCAGGTGACCATTTATCGTTTTGGATTTTTATCTATTTCCTCTTTACAGCTTCTTCGTGATCAATTTAATTATAAACCAGTTTTGACAAAAAAGCAGTTTCTCCAGTGTGGGTTTGCAGAATGGAAAATCCAAATTGTTTGTGATATTTTGAATTGTGTGATGAAAAAGCACAAGGAATTGAGTAGTTTTGAGAAGGTAATTTTATTAATAGATTTTAACTTACTCTAAGTTGCCTGGTATTTTAGCGGACAAATTCAATACTCTAGATAGCCAACTAACACGTAAGTACAATTACTGCATTGTTCACAGATTTAGGCAACCTTATGCCTGATGTTTGCTTTAAATACGGGTCACTTCCGAGGCACCTGTGTGGCTTAGTTGGTTAAGCATTTAACTTTGGTGCAGGTCATGATCTGACAGTTCCATGAGTTCAAACCCCACGTCAGGCTCTGCACTAATAGAGCCTGTATGGAATTCTCTCTCTCTGCCTCTCCCCGACTCGCTCTTTCTGTCTCTCAGAATAAATAAACTTTTTTTTGAAAAAGAGAGACTCCAACTGAGGGTTGCTGGAGGGGAGGTATGTTGTGAGGCAGTAAGTTAAATGAATGGTGGGTATTAAGGAGGGCACTTTTTGGGATGAGCTCTGGGTGACGTATGTAAGAGATGACTCACTGGGTTGTACTCCTGAGGCCAAGACTACACTGTATGCTAAGTAACTTGAATTTAAATTAAAAAAAAAAAAAAGAGATCATTCTTTGGAGTCAGATGGACCTGTTTATTAACTACTGGTCATTTGTTTTTACAAATTTGTGACTTTGAGCTACTAGCTAAGGTAACAGTTCAAACAATGCGTTTTCCTTACTTTTTAGTTTTCAGAAGACGTATCTCATTAGATTTATAATTTGGCAGTCATATTTCATATATGAAAATTCAAATAATGTAATTTAAATATTATATAATTTTAATGTCAGCTTTCACGTACATTTAGTCTCAGTACTTTTTTTTTTTTTTTTAGATTCCATCACAACAAAGAAAGAAAATCAGTTCTGTTAAGCCAGAACCTTCTTCAAACACTGAGAAGACATCTACAGAATCTGTTGGCATTGATATCACTGGCAGATTTATGACTTCAGGAAAGGTAGGAAGATACTAAGAAAATATGTAGGTGTTAAAGATTTATCTACCTAATTAATCAAATGTACAAGATTCACTTTTCTGACTAGTAGCTGGTAAAACATTTTTAGTCAGATTTGGTTAAGGAGTTTTGACAATGTATACTGTATATTACCTGGAGAACAGTCCTCATATAAGATAGAAATGTAAAATGAACAAGGTTTGTTTTTACATTTCTATTTCCTAAATCTGCCTCATTTCCCAGATAGAATAGCGATGATTTGGGAAGGTTGTATAATGTGGTCATGACATGTACTCTTATTTATGTATCTAGTCTTTCTAAAACATGGAAATGTATGAGGAGCATACCATTAGTTACAGTGATACTTTATGATAATTCATTTGCACAAATTCCTGTCTCTGTACCATGAGTGTATATTATCCAGTGATTGATAGTCCCTAAATCTATAATCTGGTTTTGGGTAAATTTTTTTTAATATTTTCTCTTTGTTAGTAAATATTTACCTACCCTTGTCTCCTCTGAGCATTTGTGGCTTAATGAGTCCCATGCATTTAGGGATAGCTTTTCTATCTCCAAGAGAAATTGAGTTCAAGGTATTACTTTATAATGATCAGTATACTTTTACCAATCTTCCTTTTGGGGCAAACCATTTCTGAGATTAAAGCATAGAATATCAGATAAATAATCAACATGCAATTAGATAAAGGATGTGAATAGTTTCTGGTGGAAGTAAAATCCAGAGAATTATTTCTTCCTAGTACAATGTACATGAGTTACAACAATCTATTAAAAAGCTACTTGTATGCCTCTATAACAGATAATGACATTTTACTGTAGGAAAAGCATTCTTATATCAATAACTTTTTTTTTTTAAATGTTTTTATTTATTTTTGAGACAGAGAGAGACAGAGCATGAGCAGGGAAGGGGCAGAAAGAGAGAGGGAGACACAGAATCTGAAGCAGGCTCCAGGCTCTGAGCTCTCAGCACAGAGCCCGACGCGGGGCTTGAACTCACGGACTGTGAGATCATGACCTGAGCTGAAGTCGGACGCTTAACCGACTGAGACACCCAGGCGCCTCCTATCAATAACTTGTCTTACCTAACTCTTGTTAGTTTTATATGATTTTCTAATTTTTAAGTGGTTTATATCTAGTATCTTTCCCCAATACATAAGAATTAATATAAACAAGAAATTTCTTCCACCTTTTTTAAAAATGTTTTTTTAATTTATTTTGAAAGAGTGCATGCAAGTGGTGGAGGGGCAGAGGGAGAGGGCAGAATCTCAAGCTGGCACCAAGAGAATCCCAAGCAGTCTCCATGTTCAGCACAAACCCTGACCCAGTGCTCAGTCTCACTAATTGTGGGATCATCACCTGCGCCGAAACCAAGAGTTGGACACTTAACTGAGCCACCCTGGCATCCCTATACTGCTTTTTTTTTTTTTTTTTTTTTTTTTTTTTTTTTTAACCTTCCTGTTCTTAGTACAGGCACTATAAGCACTTACTAAATATAAGCTGATATAACTAAATGTATTTTTCAATCTTCTATTTTAGTTTTGGGGCTGAGTAGTAATATATATTGTCCTAACAAAGAAAGGTGTAAAATTTCACGGCATTAGACTTGTTTTTCTTAAAGTATTGTTTGTTATTAGTCAGATTTTAATCAGTTGCATCGGATCTTTATCAGAAATTTTAATATTAAAAGTTGGAATCAGTAAGTACATTCCTTTGTTTACAGTTAGAGATTAAGTCAGTACTAAAACAAATTATCTCTTTTCCCAGTTCCTTCTGTAGAGTATGATTTGTGAATTCTGTGTTACATTATATGATATTTTTATAGTGCATATGCAGTCTAAGGTAAAGGAGGTAGGCAGGAGAGTCTTGTCTGAATGCATAGTTTGACCTAATGCCTTATTCTCAGGACTTTTGTCATTATTAATTTTGAATTGTTAGCTGAAGAGCTGATATTTTCTGGTTTGTTTAATAGAAAAATATTGTAATGGGTCCTACTCACGGAGCCAATTCTTGATTATTTATGTGAATTATGTGGCAACCTATTATGGGATGTTTCAAACATTTATAAAAGTACCAATTCCCACTATCAGAAAATTATCGACCCCTTGTTAATCTTGTTTCATCTTTATTATAACCACTTTTCCAACATCTTCCCCCCAATTCTGAAGCAGTATGAATCAAATCCCAGACATTAGTAGTTACTTCAATTTTTCTATTATGTAAGAATGCTCCAAAAATAATAACTGCAATTTCATCATCATAAAATATTAGTAATATTAACAGTTTAATCAATGTTTGATATATACCTTACTGTTATAATTTAAACTTGCATAAATTTTAAAGGGAAGATAAGGTATTTCTTCTGCAAAATTATGTATATGTTGAAAATAATTGTATGAGGAGAACATTGAAGCAGCTCTGACATATTTTTCTCTATGCAGACAAAAGCTGTGGTGATCCGTCACCTGTATAATGAAGATGGTGTTAACATTCCTGAAGATACGAGAAGTACAGTAACAGATGTTAGTGGAGCATTTGATGTGTGTGACTTAAAGACTACTGAAATAAGGGTTCCTGAAGTAAAGTTCCCTGAAATCAAGTCTGAACAACAAGTAAGAATTTTGGACTTCTTTATCAGATGCCTGTATTTCTTACTTGGACGTACATGATTACTTCAGCACCTAAACTTTGGAATATCTCTAGCTTTTTGCATTATTACTTATGACACAACACTTTATTTAAGAATAAGTAAGTCTACTGTTTATAATTCAACAGATACTATTTGCTGCTTATGTTTAGGGTACGGGGCCAGGTGTTATGGGTAATGCAAAGATGAATAAGAGACAGTACTTTGCTTCAAGGAATTTAAAGTCTGGTTAGAGACAGAAATACACTGCTTTGTACAGTGAAGGTTCTGTATCATCTATCCCTCTCATTAAAGAATGGAAAAAACTGGTGCACACTCCCTCCTGCCATTTTATTTTCTTTTTTGGGCCCTTGCTATCTTCTTCTCTTACTTTTAGAATACCTTTTCTATTACTTTATTGCCACAGACCTTCTTATAGTGTCTTATCTATACTGCTCTGCTGACTTCCTTTTCTATCTTCTATTTCTTGTAACTTCTATACACCGCAGTTTATAATTGGCATTTATAAAAACTACCACATGGTCATTTGGCTGATTTCCTGTTAATAGCAAACTGAACAGTTTCAAAGCACTGTCATATTTTGGTCATTCCCTCTTAGCTTTGTGCTGGGTGCTGTTACAAATAGCTAGTTAGTGATAGTTTTATTATACTACCAGGTGCTTTTCTAATAGCTTCATGCAGAATTAATCTTCAGATGAGCTATATGAAGTACAAACTGTTGGAGATATATATATGTATATATACACATATATGTATATATATATATATGTGTATATATACCCACACATACAAACACACACACACGTTTATATATAAATTGAAACACCAAGGTCACACATCTCAGAAGAGGTAGTTTCAGTGTCTGAGCATTCTGCGTGTATAGATCATAGTCTTTTAACTCTCATGCTGTATGCCTGTTATAACTATTGAAATAACGCCGTGGAAATGGAAATACATTGATTTTTAAAACAATTTCAGTCTGTCTAATACAATTTTTAACCTTTCTAATCATTTTAGGATATTAAAATTAATCATGAGATTACTGCACTACAGACTATGCTTGCTGAATGCCAAGAAAAACTTAAGAAACTGACTTTGGTAGAGAGTAGATTAGACTCTTTGGAAGAAAAAATGAAAGGAAAAGTGATGGTAAATGAAAAAACCTGGGCTAATCTTCTAAGTCGTGTCACTCTTCTTGAAACAGAAATGCTTTTGTCTAAAAAGGTATTTCCTATCTTTAACATTTATGGGATATCTCAGATACATTGTTAAGTGTGTATTCTTTTAGAAAAACTAAAAGAATATTTAGGTAATGGGAAAGTGTTTAGTTGAAATGAGGCCCTATTTAGATATAGCCCATTTTGTTGCTGCTATTTGTGGTTATTGTTTTTCTCTTTAGCAACTGAGATAATCTGGCAAGCCTCTGTAGGTTCAGCTTTTAGAGCTGTTGATACTGTAAGCATTTAAAAAAAGGTACGATAATGTTTGATTTTTATGAAGAGCTTGAAATTATATTCTTTAATTGTACAAAGATCCTATTTTTATAGTGAAAAGAAAAAAGTGGACAGAACAGGAACAATTAAAATTATGACTTCCTTTTCTTATTTACAAGTTATAAATTTCCTGGAAACAGTTACCAAATTTGCCATTGCCTTATGAAGTCTGAGAAATTTTTTTTGATTTGCTTAGGATTTCAATTTCTGGTTCTAGTCTATCTTTGCTTCCTAACAGTAAAGTTAGTTGATTCAAGAATGTTACCTCTGCTTCCACATTTGAAAGGTTATTTCATATTCATAGTGGTATTTATGTATTGCTTTACAAACAATTAAAATTTAAACATTTATCTTGTTATCTGTTATGCTTAATAGTAAGAATAGTAATAGTCAGAATATAGTATAGAATAGTAAGAATATAAAATGAGAACACTTTTCATTTTATTCTAAATACTAAATTATATTATTCCAGAATGATGAATATATAAACTTTGGTCAAGTGAATGAAGACTATGAATCCAGTAATGACTTGGATATTCTGAATTCTGGTAAGTTGTAATATTATGGCAGTGGTATTGGTGGTAAGGTAAAGAGTTTTCAGGAAGATGATTTTTATAGGTATTTGATAATTTTAATAGTCCCAAGCCTTATTTTTTAGAAGCTGCAAATCTCTTAGGAAAAAAGACAGTATTGAAATTATGGACTACTGAAGCCAAGGATTGCTTAATAAAGCCGGTTTACATATCTTACGCGAGGTAGTGGTTGAATAAAGTCCCGTGTACAAAATTGCAAACTTTTATAGAGGCATTTTATTTTACTCTTTTAATTGCTAAATGCTCTAGAATAAACATGGAACTCCAGAGTTTTTAATTTAAACTTATGATAGCTTCCACCTCTGTAAATAACATAAGTAAAAAAAACATTTGTCAGTAACCTGTAATGTATTACAAGCCTCTTGAATTTAATCAGTTAAATGATGATAATGTCTTCTCCATATCACTTACTTCCACTGGATTACTGACATTTTCATTGTGACTGAGCAGCAAAGCTAATATTTCTGGGCTTTTTTTTGGTGATAGCTTTTATTTTTTATTATACTTTTTGAATAGACAAAGTTCGAGATTTTGTCTTATGCTAATAATTAAATCATATTTGCAGAAGAGATATTTTGTCCAACTGAGAATTCATAACAAAAAAACATTTTAAAATCTGTGGATGCTTAATATCATTAAATCTTTCAGCTACTGTGTATAACAACACCAGCATTATAGTACTGTGTACCTGACACTGTCCTTAACTGCTGTATTAACAAATTTAATTCTCAAAGCAAACATTCAAGTATTGTAATTATCCATATTTTACAGAAGAGGAAACTGAGGTACAGAGAGATTAAATAAATACGCCAAAGACCACACAGCAATTGAATAATGGAGCATATTTTAATCTGGGGAACTTGGCTCTGAAGTTTTCTCTTAACTACTACATATTTAGTATACATGTCAGTTTTATGGCAGGACAGTTTCAATGATTAGGTTACTATATAATGATTTGAAGTGTTATTTCAGGCAATAAATTTATTAGACTACAGATTTCAGGTTTGGTAAATGTTTCCTCTTCAAATTTATCATTCATTCATTTATTCAACAAATGTCAAAGCTCAACTCAGATCTTTGAGGTCAGGATCTTTACCTTATGATCTGCATAGCAGACAGAAATTAGGTCTGTACTTCTAGCTCCAATATCTGTATATAATGGCGTTCGGTTTTTTTATGTAGTGTAAGAGTATTGAATGCCTGCTATTTGCAAACGCTTGCCTTTTCCAAGTTTGGTTTTGCATGTTCACAATTATAATTTTATTAACATTTTTACAGACCTACCTTTAAGCCATTGAGTTAACACATAACCAAATATAAGCCAATGTACTAAGACTTAGAGTGATAGGCAGATAGGCCATCATCTGAAATGGGTTGTAGATTATGAACAAGATAAATATATGGTCTCAAGAAATTTATAATCTAACAGTGATCAGTTAAAAGAGTTAAGTTTATAAATTCTTACACTTTGTCCCTTAAATATGCATGCTACATGGAACCAGAGAGTTTGATTTCACTTGGAAGTTGAGAGCAATAATTCACCAATCTCATTTTAGGATTATGTTAAGTTGGGAATGGTTTTTGAGAAGTTTCAGATTTGTTTTCCCTTTATTAGAAATAGTGTTTCCATGGGGGGCTGTAAGGCGTCTCTGTGTTTGGCAAAAAATCAGTGAGGAGAGGCTTTTATTATAAGGATTGTGCTTACACTGGGTGATTTTGGAGACTGTTTATTTTTTTATTTTTTAACGTTTATTTATTTTTGAGACAGAGAGAGACAGAGCATGAACAGGGGAGGGGCAGAGAGAGTGGGAGACACAGAATCCGAAATGGGCTCCAGGCTCTGAGCTGTCAGCACAGAGCCTGACGCGGGGCTTGAACTCACGGACTGTGAGATCATGACCTGAGCCGAAGTCGGACTCTTAACCGACCGAGCCACCCAGGCGCCCCTTTGGAGACTGTTTAAAATGAGCGTTCTTCTAGTTTGTGTTCTGTTAGGAAGCGGGAACACTTTGATGAGTGATGATAAGAATGAATGCTGAAATTTTCAGTGGAAAAGAAGTACTTAGTATTAGTCGGGAGAGCACTATAGCTGGTCCTTTGCGTGTTTGCTGCTTACATGGTGTCCTTGTCTGTATTCAGACATGACAGAGTTGGTCTTGTTTGTTTCATCAAGGTAATGAAGTGACCTCATATGATGGTTTTCTATGAACATAAATAATTATGTTCAGTTGGGGATACAGTGACCTGGTTGTTAATTATTGGATAGGCCATGACCATGAATGCTCTTTGTTTTTTGCTTTGCTTTTTTTGTGCCTTTTTCCTCATAAGAAAAAAATTAATAAAGTTATAGTGTCACAAGTGTATGGATCCAGTATGACTAGAAGGAAGGGTACATGTGGGCATATGAAGGAAGTTGAAACAGAAGAGTAGAAAGATAAAATCATGGAGTTCATATGGGGTCATAGATTTTTAGCAAAGTAAATACAATCAGATTTATATTTCAGAGAAATCATCCTAAAACAGAAAAGTGGTACATTATAGGAAAGTAACACAGGAAAGGGCGGTAATTTGAAGCGTCTTTCAGATCCTTTATTTCAGAATAATGAGGGTGTCTACTAAGGCTATGATAGTAAGGATTAAGAAAAAAATTACTTAGTTGTTAGAATTGATAGCTCTTGATTGCTGATAGAAGTTGTGGTGAAAGAGAGAGAAAAAGTCAAAACGGACCACTTGTATTTGACTTGTGTGATTGGGTACATAGTCGGTACTCTTTAATAGAGAATTAAGGAGACAGTTGGGGAAAAATGGATTCACTTTTGAAAATACGAAATTATGTATGAAATACTTAAGACAAAATATCCAAATATCAGTCGGACATATTTTCCCTTGATTGGGAAGGACTGGTTTACAAATTAGTTTTCCCCGCTATTGGAAAGAGGAGCATTAACATGAAACCTTTCATAAGCCTAAATGCATAAAGCAAAGTAGTACCAGGAATTTATAGGGAAAATATTTTGAGCATTCCCACACCTCAAAAATAACTTTTTGTAGGCTTTTTTGATGCCTTAGGACACATCTTGCCAATGGATGCACAAAATAAGTCCCGATAAAGCAGTTGCTCACAGAAACAGTTCAAAGCTATGGCGGCTTGATGCTGAGATGCTGAGTGTAACTCCCAGGGAAGGAGCTTTGCGGGCCACTCTCGCTGCTCCAGGTGTGTGATGCCTCTAAAATAACTTGCTGTGAAACAAGTGCTGAATGCTATTTTCATTTTTTTGCCTTTATTCAAAAAAAGTGAAAATCCTCCTTGATTTCTTTTGGTTAGCAAAAACAGGTACTAATGTGGATCTTCTTTAAAAGCAAAGTGGCATGATGTGAACTTTTGATAAGCGGGAGATACCTGCATAGTTAAATGGCAAAGGACCTAACTAGTTCTCTTAATGCAGTAAGGTAATTCTCCAAAGTTGTCAGTTAAAGATTAAAGGTCATGGGAAGTTGGCTAGAAAATCTAGATCTTACAGATCCCCTTTCTTCATAGAGATCTATTGGCAATGACTCTGAAACTGTAAACAATAATTGCCCTAGGGACTACTACTCTTCCCTTTCTTTTCCATCCTGAAGTTAAATTTTTTTTTTTTAAGTTTATTTATTTTTGAGAGAGACAGAGACAGAGCACAAGTGGGGGAGGAGCAGAGAGAGAGGGAGACACAGAATCTGAAGTAGGCTCCACTGTGAGCTGTCTGCACAGAGCGCGACATGGGGCTTGAACTCACGAACTGTGAGATCATGACCTAAAGCTGAAGTTGGACGCTCAACCAACTGAGCCACCCAGGCACCCCATCTTTTCCAACCTGAACTTAGTTGCCAAATTTTTTCTCAACTTCCCATAGCACAGTTAAAAGCCATTATGTTTAAACAACGAAGACTTGGGGCGCCTGGGTGGCGCAGTCGGTTAAGCGTCCGACTTCAGCCAGGTCACGATCTCGCGGTCCGTGAGTTCGAGCCCCGCGTCGGGCTCTGGGCTGATGGCTCAGAGCCTGGAGCCTGTTTCCGATTCTGTGTCTCCCTCTCTCTCTGCCCCTCCCCCGTTCATGCTCTGTCTCTCTCTGTCCCAAAAATAAATAAACATTGAAAAAAAAATAAAATAAAATAAACAACGAAGACTGTATACTAAAGACTTAGGAAAGCAATAGGAAAAATCATCACAGAAAGTAATACACACTTCATTGATCTGGCTATTAAAATATGGCTTGTGTTCTATATATGTCCCATTCTGTAATCTCTGGAATGCCCTATGTGGCTTTCCCAATAGCCTCCATAGCCTGCCTAATACCAGCTTTTTCCCATTGTGAGGTATATACCCTTGAAGGCTAGATAGATACTTTCAAGTCTAGGCCCCAGAGAGCAGAGCAGAAAGCTGTTCCTTCACCTTCCATTCAGTTTCCATTCTGTCTTCCCACTTCTTATTTCCTGTCCTAGGACTTAAAACCTCATTATTTTTGAACAGCTTAAAAAATGTTCAGCTCTTTCCAAGGATACTCATCTCTATCCATGGAAAATAATCCAAGATTAGGGAATGGTAGATATAGTTCCTGCCTAGTTTCAGGTTATTCCTTGAAATTACCTATTGCCAAAAGCCCCTGTTAAAAGATCTGGGTATAGATAATCTTCAAAATTGTACTATGTGATCTTGATCCCTGAGCTTGACCAACTGAATCAAGAGTAAACACCTAATCCAGGGAATGCCAATTCAAAAGGTGTTGAGCCAGAGCATTTTCTCTCCCTTGGGAATTTGGAATTAGGATACTAAGTCAGTCAAGATGTTGAGCCTGGGCTAGGCCGGCCTTTTTCTTCCAAGTTCATGCTGATAAGTAAGCAGATGTATGGAGTAAATAGGTAAGAGAAGTAGACAAAAGAGACTGGCTCTGTGTGAAATGAAAGTAAAAGTCTTTCCAGTTGTTTCAGTCTTCAGGTGCTAATACCTTTTCCCTAATTGAGGTTGTCTATGTAGGCTTACAATAAAACCGTCTTTATGTAAACCAGTTTAAATGGGTGCTTATTTTTTTTTTCTGGCCTTGATTTTGCGGTCATATGTATCTTGACTAAAACATAGGGCTAATGGGATTGATTTAATAGTAACATGTCTTATAAGTGATGTTCTATATTTGATTTAGTCAAATATAGAACATCATTTTCTTGCCATCATTTTGTCGCATGAATGGTATCAGTGTACGAGGTGGAAAGTTGTTCACTTCTTTAGAAAAAAGAAAAAATCTTTAAACCCTGAATTTTAGGCATTGTTTTTTCCATACAGGTTAACTTAGGAGGGAATCTTTATTGATTTTTCAAAAGTATACTCAGCATTAGTAATAGTTACAACCATCTTCAGAAAAGAATATTCATGAGTCAGTAGCTGATACTTAAAAATAAATTATGAGCTTGCCTACTTGCTATCAGGACTATCAGGATAAAGATAAGTAGTACCTTTTATAATTTTTACTGGCCAGTTTTTAACATCTAGATCTCTAGGTATAATCTTAAAAGAATAATAACAATTTATCTGGGTCAATACCAGTAGCCATTTTATATTAAAATGTCTGTTTTTCTTCCATTTACAAATAAAATTTTTAGATGTGACTGCACTGTGAAGATAACCTAAACATTAATTTCTCCACAGATAGAAAAGGCAAAGAGGAGAGGCAAACGAGTGTTCCTCTATCCTCTGGTTATAGTACAGTGTCATCAGATTCAATTCCCAGAACCCCAATGGTTTGTTACTGTGGTCTGAAAGAGAATTCAGAGGTAAGAAAAACTGGCAACTGCTTAGATGATTTCCTTTCTAAGGGCAGGAGAATAAGCAAGCACTAGATTTGGTTGTAGATGCATTGGCAAGAAAAATAGCGAAACTGTAAATCTTAATCTCTCGTAAAAATTCTTTATGATAAGTAAACAGTACTTAATGCAATGTTTTAGACTGTTTTATATGTTCACGGTCCGTCTTTGATGATGGTTTACTTTGAGAAATCGCCTAAATTTGTTGCTTTTTAAATTAAAGGAAACAACAATCCAGAAAATGGAAAGGATGAAAAAAATGTAAGTAACAGAGAGGGGGAACAGAAATTCATTTCTCTGTAGGGAGTTGTATTGGATTACAGTATATATAGAAAGTGCATATGTGTTTCAAACCTTAAAGGTCTCTCAATCAGGTGTGGAATTTCCTTCAGGACTCCAGTGGATAATAAATCCCCCTACAGTTATGTGTTTGTGAGATGAGTCACTATTTTGGTTTCCAACAAGTGATGTAAAACATTGTTAATGGAATTAATTGTAGGATTAAACAGTGCAGAGATATTTCTGGTTGAAGTTAATCAAAAGTATTATCTACCTTTGATAACTGATTTATCAAAATATTAAATATATGTAGGTGGATGGTTTGGAGACATTTTAAGTATTGTTAAAGTATTGCTAGTCTTTCAGTTATTGGTAAAATAATACTAAAAATGATACTTGTGTCTTATACGAATATGAAATAGTAAAAGCAGTTGAAAGGAAATATGAAATGAACTTGTGTAAGATGATTATGCAGCATCCTACTTCAGGGGACTATATTGCTTTGAAATTTCATAAGTACTAAAATAACTCAGGCTCTAAGAATTAAAGACTCATAATTGACTTTAGTGGTATTTCTCCCCTCTGGCCATGGTATATACTTAATTTATTTTTTATACCTGTAAATAAGAAAAGTAGGAAATTTATTTTGGGCTCAAAAGTATAATTTTCAGCCACTTAAATACTATGCCTCATTATGACTTTTTTTTTACTTAACATATTATTTATTTGTTATATTTCAGGTTTGAAGAAACTGCAGAGTTACTGAAATGTCCAAATCACTAATTATAGATTTTCTGCGTGAACTTCTCTAGGACTTTGGCTACTGTACATGTTGTATATTTTAAGGATTTTCTATAAATTTTAACATACTGCAATATTTTTATGAAGAATTTTTGAATTCCATTTGGTATATGAGTTTTTTTCGATATTGAGTAAATACTTAAATATTTTTATGCTACGATTACACTGCTTTACTGTATTTTACTTTTTTAAGGAAAACTTACGTGCCAGTACGTGTCTTTTACAGAGTGAAGTCATTATAGCACTGTATTTTTGTGTTGACATTTGTTGGCAGTGTGCTAAGTAATATGTTTTTTAAAGTAGAGGCTTGTGGACCATGGTTTACATCCTGTTGGAAACACTCCAGCTGGGACTTGCATATTGTACCCAGGAGGCTCTCGTGCATACCATCTTGCCATCTGTACTGACTAATATGTTGTAATGAAAAATCAAAAATGCTCATTGCAAATTAAATAAAAATATAATTTTAATGTTAATCAAAAAGCAGCGGTACATTTTCAGTTAACGCTGAGAAAGTAAGGGTATGATTCTCCTTTTGTATTTGGAAATAGGTCAGAAAGTTCACCATGAGAAATGTGTTGAGTATTTTAGTGCTCTATTCCATAACACATTTTAAGACCAGCAGCACAGACACAGATGGTGGCCATCCAGTATTACAAGGTACACAGTAAGGTCTTTTTGGGTTTTTTAGGTGATGGGAAGTTATATATCTTTCTAGAGAGAGAAAAGGTCTTAGATGAAGTTAAACCAAGAGAAAAAATGAAATTCAATTGAAATTACTAGACAAATTACTAGAGAAATTATCTTTTTTTATCTCTATAAATTAAAAAGTGTAATAATAGCCCTGGGTAATCGATAAGAAAATTGACTATTTTGAAGGAAAAAAGGAGTATTTTTTCTTTTTTATTATTGTTTAGATTATCTAATTAGATTTTATTGGTTCATCTGTTTATAGTCTATATGTTCAATTTGATAGTTGTCACGTGAAATATTAACATTTCGTTAAAATTCTGTGTGGAAATAACTTTTAAGTATTTTTAGTATTCTAGTACATAGTTATTAGACTTTAAGAATTTTTTTTTTTCAACGTTTATTTATTTTTGGGACAGAGAGAGACAGAGCATGAACGGGTGAGGGGCAGAGAGAGAGAGGGAGACACAGAATCGGAAACAGGCTCCAGGCACTGAGCCATCAGCCCAGAGCCGGACGCGGGGCTCGAACTCACGGACCGCGAGATCGTGACCTGGCTGAAGTCGGACGCTTAACCGACTGTGCCACCCAGGCGCCCCTAGACTTTAAGAATTTTTAAAGTTAGCCTACAACTTTAAAAATTAGTATTAAGTAGATATCTCTAGAATTGATGAATCCAATTAGCTATATTTTCTCAATTATAAAAGATTTATAAAACTCAAGATATTACAGTCATAAAAGAAAAAACACTGCTTTTATATTCCAAAATATCAGTACCAACATGGAATTATAGCACCACCTTGTGGTTCATATATCAGTATTTTACCTTTTATTAAAACAAGTGATTTCCCATAAAACGTACTTTATATTTCCTCTTTTGAGAAACTCAATTCCAATTAAAAAAAAAAACTTTTTCAAGTTTTCTTGTTTAAAACAGAAGAAAAAAATGTCCCCTTTTCTCTTTGTCTCTTTTTTCCCTCCCTGTCCTTTTGTTTTATATAGCATACATATACAGTACATAGGTGTGAACTTATACAACATAGGTGTGAACTGCCTGGAACTGCCCAGATCCATTTTAACATGGATTTTTTACAGCACAGTACTGTAAATGTGTATTCTTTTCCTTATGATTTTCTTACTGACATTTTCTTTTCTTATTGCAATACAGTGTGTGATACCTATAACATAAAAAAAAAAAATGTGTTGCATAGCATTAAGTTATTGGTAAGAATTCTGGTCTACAGCAGGCTATTAGTAGATAAGTTTTTGAGGAATCCAAAGTTATATGCAGATTTTTGATTGCGTAGAGGGTAGACTTCCCCAACACCCTTGTTGTTCAAGAGTCAACTGTGCATAACAATTAGATGATTTGAAACTTCTTGAATCCTAATTTGCATATAGTATATGCAAATATACTATAAGTATAAGGAACTATTGAAAATGTAGTAAAAGTTGTTTTATATTATCAAGTAGAAATTTGGAATCCAATCTTAAAAATATTTTTGTCTAACAACGTGAAACAAAAACTAAAAAAGTCAACTCGTAATAACACTATACATTTACACTTATACTATCCTGACAACGTAGTTTTTGTGGAAAGCAAAGCTAATTTGACTTTGAAGTTATTGAAGTGATAGCCAAATTATTATTTTACTCTTATTAAAATTTTCTCTCAAACAATTTGGTTAGTAGCTTGTAACCTTAAACCCCTTTTGATTAATTTGAGGGTCCTGAGAAAGTGAGAAAGGAGAATCCTGGAGAGATTATTTGGAGCTATGTTATTAAACCCTTAATTGGAATTTTCACTAACTCCATCCCCTTAATTCTCCCATAACCCAGATGAGAAGTATTTATTTTACTACCAACAGAGGCATCTGCAGCTTGTGCTGCCCTGTCTATACTAGAGAATAGGTCTGGATGAAGATTATATAGGAACACTATAAAGAATGAGTAAGGGAAAGTACTAGTCAGAGTAGATTAAAGAAAAGTAACATCAGCTGTGTGAAAAATCCTAGGCGAAGATAAGGATTAATAAGTTAGAAAAAGTTCTATATTTGTTGTTTGTTTTATTGTAGCATTTTTAATGTGATGTTTTAACATGGAATAAATCTACTCACTAAAAAATAAAACTTGGAACTGTGTTTTACGCCATTCATTACTCATGGCTTTATATAATTGACAGGCACTTGGGGAAGCATTAAAAATTAAAGAACCTTGTCAATTTTACAAACTCTAATACTTTCGGAGCTCAAATAACAACATGATAGATTTAATTTTTACTTTTTAACAGTCCCCAGATTCTTCTGTCCTTTCTTTCAGCTGCAGGTTGTTTAGAAGGTGAAGAGGTGGAGTAGTGTGAAACTTTAAAGTTAAACTACAAAATTAAAAGTTTAATTGTTGTGTCCCTTGACTTTTAATGTTTCTAGTGAAAATGGCAGGTTTCTTATACTGTTCCAAGTGAAGGAAGCAGGAAAACCAGAACTGACAGCAGGAGCAACATGGAGACAAATTTGGGGAGGTGGTGGCTACAATTCATGTTAGTTTGATAATGATTGTTATTTATACCTAATACTTGTAGGAATAGGGACTATGTGTATAGCACGTCTTACTTTTCTCTCTCAAGCCCTAAATCACTAATAGAAAAGTTTAATTTGAGTTTTTAAAGAAGATTTTAAATGCAAAGTGTTCAACATTTTAAAGTTAAGAACAGAGAACTTAATAAGTATCCCCGAACGTACAAATTGGGTTGAGCTCTTCAGTTACTTTGGTGTTGAAATCCTGAAAGACACTTGTACATATGCACTAGAGTTATTTTATGCCTGTTTTTTTGAAACCTCTTTTGACTGTCCCTATGGATTGGACCGTACATGCCTCACCTACTCGTACAGCTTCTCACGTGCTGTATCGGTAAAATTTACCCAACGAGGTGCTTTCTTTCTGGGTCCTTACGAGATGGTATTTCTACTTCTTTTTCTATTTTGCCGTTTCTGAAACTTCTGAGTTTCTCTAAGAATGTATGCCTGTTAGGATGTTTATGAAAAATGGATAAAATAAACTGGGCTGGTTACTGATTATTATAAATGGAAAGCTATTCATTTGAATTAGAGCAGTGCCAGGATTTGGTCATTTTTTAGACCCATTACTACTGGCTCACTTTCCATTTTCCTCATCCCCCACTCTGGTGAAGAAACACACATTACCATCTCTGAGTTTTTTTTTTTTTTTTTTAATTTTTTTTTTTCAACGTTTTTTTATTTTTGGGACAGAGAGAGACAGAGCATGAACGGGGGAGGGGCAGAGAGAGAGGGAGACACAGAATCGGAAACAGGCTCCAGGCTCTGAGCCATCAGCCCAGAGCCCGACGCGGGGCTCGAACTCACGGACCGCGAGATCGTGACCTGGCTGAAGTCGGACGCTTAACCGACTGCGCCACCCAGGCGCCCCGACCATCTCTGAGTTTTAATATGGGTGGCTTGTTTTCGGTGTGTTTCAGTGACAGCTGCTCTCAAGAAACAAAACAGAATCTCGCTCAGCCAGAGATTACTACTCCTAACCGCCCACTCGGAGTCCTGTATCCTCTTAATCCTTGTACCTCTTTTCCCATGGCCACTGCATTCCCTCTTCTGGTTGGTGCTGGTGCTCTTCACGGACCCCCGCTTACAGCCTTCCTCCCTCAGTGTAGCCACACTGCTTTTCTGAATTGTTCTTCGATTATGCTATGCTGCTGCTTAAAATGTTTTAAGTTTCTCTTCCTCCTACTGAGCAAAGCCCTTCTTACCCTGGACAGCGAAGATCTTTTTCTTTGAGGTCTCATCTACATGTCCAGAGTCCTCTCCTCCAATTCTGTAATCTATATACACAGTACTCTCTTCACTCGTGCTTTTGCACAGTTTCTTTGGCTGAAAATGGCTTTCCTTCCATTTGGCAAATTTCTGCTTCTCTTCTAAGACACTGTACCTTCCTTAAAGAGCCTTTTATCAACTGCAGAAGCCAAAGCACATGCTCCTCTTTGTTGCTTTAGTGCCATGTTTATGATTTTGATTTGTACACCGATTTTGTAGTTATTAGTTGCTTATATGACTTTAGTGTCCGTTCTGTCTTTTGGTTTTCCGTCTTTCTTCCAATGTTTATTTCCCCCTAGTACCTAGCATTTGATCGTTTGTTTGCTTATTTATTACAAGCTAAGTGGTACGTAGTAATTATTTGTTGGCTGAGTGAATATCAAATTATAATGAAGTTATAAGTTATAATCAAGGTTTCCAGATAAGTAAGATTTTATCAAGTTGAAAGTT